TGCTGGTCTCTACTTTTCTCTGCCGTTTCTGCTTATCTCTTCCTTCAATAGTTAATTTGGAAAATAAAATGTTTAAATTACTTTTTTTATTATTTCTTTATTTTTCTTTCCATTTCCAATACAACATTAAGTTTACGTATACTATTAGGGACGTCGAAATTTAGAGAAAAGGTTGATACTCTAAAGACTAATCAATTTATACTGTAAGTTTCTAAAAAAAAATTAGGGAATCCCACAAATTTTTGCAAAAAATTTAATCAAAAATTTAAATTTTATATATATATATATATATATATATATATATATATATATATATATATATATATATATATATATAGACATTTATGACTTATAGGAAAATTTGAATACACGAAATCTTTATATCGTCCCAAAAATTTACATGTCTTGAACAGCATTTAATTAACGAAATTTGTTGTCGGAAACCTTGGATTTTTTCTCATTTAATGTATAATTTTTTCGACTTGATAATATTCACGTATTTTATCTTGTTACTAACTGAACTGAAACTATTGGCAAAACTGTATAAAAATTACAAAATATTAGATTAAAAACGTCACAATATTGCAAGTTTTAACTCAATTTTTCTCAGAAAATTGTCGGTTTTCCTCCATTTTTTAACCGACTTCAAAAAAGGGGCTGTTCAGTTCGCCGGAATATTTTTTTTATGTATGTTTAGCGATAATTATTTACCACGTTGTCCGAATTCAATGATTTTTGTTAGAAAGGGGGTATTTCAGGTGTGGTACCTTATAAATTTGATCAATATTTAATAATTGGATCCATGAAGAAATCATTAAAATCTTCATTTTTTATGTATATTCAGCGATAATTCTGTACCACCTTATCAGATTTCTATGATTCTTTTTTTGTTAAAAACAGAATATCTCAGGGATTGTTCCATATACATTTGGTCAAAATCTGGTGATGTTTTCTATAAGAAAATCAGCAAACTCGATTTGTAATGGCATCTGCACGATTTTAAAGGATGGTTTTTAAAATTACTTTTATAACTTATTGAAAATTACTATATGGAATAAGTAATTTTAACATATTCCAACATCCCTAATGTTATAAATTTATAATGTTAATTCCAATAGGTATGTTTTTCAAAACTTTCTCCCCTTTTGACTTTTTAATTCCCATCTGACATTTATTTTTCCGCTAATAATCAATAATAATTTTTCAAAAACAAAAACATCCCTCACAACTACTATTACCACAGTTTATAGCTAAAGTTCGCCTCGGTACTTTTGATCTCAATGTTCCAGTTTATACATTGCGCAACTCGGATTAGTATCCCTGGCGCATACAGAATCAAATCATAACCAATAAAATATATGACAACTACCTACATTTAAAAAGCAGTCTTCTGCGCATCTTGAATTTGTATCCCTGGAGTGGATGTTATTTTGGAACATCCAATTGATCCGAGTGAGCTAACTGATTATTTAGCTATAAACTGTGCTATTATATTATAACATTTTCTATACCCCACCCCGATATTTCTATCTCCAATTCTAACTTTTTGTTTGAGGGTTGAAAATTACATTGATTTTAAGTAAAATGAAAGGAAATTTACGAGTGGCTCCTGGGGATAACACATGGAAAATTCGATTTTCCTTAACAAAAATGAAAGGTTATTTTTTGCCCATATTTCTACGCAAGCCGCATTCACTATATGGTTAATTAATAAAACTAGGCTTCGAAAAACCAAAGGCTTTAATGTTGCAAGTATCATACATCGTCACTAGTCCGAAAAACATATTGGTTTGAGTTATCCGAATGCATTTTGGGGTCGGAAAATTTTTCTAATAAGGAAAATTAAATTTTCCAAGTGTTATCCCTAAGAGACACTCGTAAATTTTCTTTTATTCTACTTAACATCGATGTACTTTTTAACTCTCTTCAAGGCATGTAAGCGAAAATGGAGCACCTAAATCGATCACTATCTGACTGTCTAATAATAACTAGACAGGAAAGTCAGGTGTTGGACAAATTAGATTTTTTTTAAATAAAAAATAATTGTATTTTGATATATTTCTTTTGCCAAAATGTTCAAAATAATTTGCTTTCATTAGGTTTTACTTTTATCATCTTTAGCTCATGAGATATAACCATTGTAAGTTTTTAAATTGTCTACTCTGTATATTCGTTTTATTTATTTTTGTAGTTATACCGGTACATGGTATAATTAAATACCAACCAATACCAACATTGTTTAATTCTATTGGTAAACCGTTATGACTTCTTTTAAAGAAATTTTAACTAAAACTTTAAATAAAAGCTTACTTTGGTTAAATCCATCCTTAGAGTTCTATTGTTAGAAGTTAAAAGAATTACTTCAAAATTATTGTTTTTAAATTATTTATCACCCTGTATACTATAACACCCTGTATAGCCACTTTATATAACACGTGTTAACATGGTTTTATAATGTTTTATTAAATATCTCGTGAACAATGTTTAAAATGTAATTAGTTAAGGAACAAAATAGAGAATGTCTTTAACGGCATATTGCCTATCACTTCATAGCGTTCGGCTGGTCGAACGTCAATTCCCAACTCTCGGCGCTCTCTCCTGGTCCTGAACACTCAAACGGGTAGACGTGGTATTGTCGACTCCAGTGGCGGCGATATCCTAATTCGCTGACTCTAACAGGGCAGACGTGGTACCGTCGACCCCAGTGGCGGCGATATCCTAATTCGCTGACTCTAACAGGGCAGACGTGGTACCGTCGACCCCAGCGGCGGCGATATCCTAATTCGCTGACTCTAACACTATTATGAAATTATCCCGAACAAATGGAGAATTCTACTGTCTCTAATTTTACTCTTCATACTATTCCATCATGCTAAAAATACCCATTTAAATGTTTTTGATATTTTTAGAGTTAACTTTTCCGTAATAAAAATCAAATTGATAAATTGCTATATAAAAGAAAAAAATATTTTTTCAAAAACATTTCAAAAATTAATTGTAAATTCTTTTGCACACATAATTTACTGTAAACACGTTATTGGTATTAAAATTTCTTTTTGTACGCCTATAGCATCCATCTTATCTAACGTTTAATAAACAATTTTCGAAGATAAATCATGAATAAAAAAGAGTTTTAGAACCCTTACAAATACCGATTGCTTCTTATTAATCTGTTGTCAGATGAATCATTTCTTTCGATAACGAAATAAAATATTTTCATAACAAGGTGTGTAAACTTGGCGGCAATGTTCATTCAGAATATTGCATTTCTGCCAAAAACGCTAAGAATGTGTAGTGGCTTTGAACATTTGGTAAAGCATCATATCTAGGGTTGCCACCTGTCGTTTTGTGAAAATTGTCCTTATGACTTGTTAAACCTTAAAATCTCATTTTACAAGTTCATCGTCAGAAAAACGAACTGGTTTATAAAAGCTAAATTTTTTTTAGAAGGTCGGCGGAAGGACCTGAAGTTAATTAAAAATGTAAGTATAAGCTGTTGAGGACCTAATTTCTTTCTTTAAGACCTTAGAAAGACCTGGTTTTTTTCTTTTACAAATTTCCCTTTCGTTAATCTGGCAACCCTATCTTTATCTACTTTTCATAATGTGGCAACCCTAAGAAGATATAGAATGTGAATTATCTGACAAAAAAAGGACTATTAAATAAATTCTGAAAGCAAAATCTGCCAAATGACAAAACGCAAACACGTGTTTGGGTCTGTTGATCCTCAATCAGTACGGTGCCGCCAAGTTTAACAGCAAATGAATTTTGCGATAAAATCAAAACAAACACTTGTTATTTAATATGTGCACGAATAATTTTAAAAATATGAGCAGCGGGCCCGGCTTAGCAGGTTCACTTATTGTATGTCGATATCTGCAATCAAGCCAGGCCCAGCAAAGTTAGTATTTGGATGGGTAACTATTTCGGTCGGCGTACGTAGGAATAAACTGCTCGTATTATAGCTAGCGGGCGTACAAGGTATAGCTTGCGGTGTGCCATCTTTTAGGAGGAGATGCAAAAACCGTCGGTCCCGAGTCTATGGATGTTGGGCTTCGTTAAAAATCCCTACCTCTAGTTGGAACACCAGGGGATTTTGCTAAATTTGTGGTAGTTGGTGGTGGCGTGCTGCAGCGTCAGTGTTTATACCTCTTACTTAGAAATATGCCAACGACATTAACTAAACGTACTGGCTAGCCGATCGCCGGCGGTAATTGAATTTAATAAAACGAAAACCGTCTTCCGGCGGCATGGTCTTCTCACATATAAGAAACCTGCCGAAAATCTAAACTAATTTGTTGATGAGGGCGGCAGGCTATCAGAGTATTGATAAGGCCGTCGGACGACGGTCTACTGTATTTGAAACATTAAATGCCGCCGTAAAAAACTCGCGTATCGGGGACAACACTATTCATTTGTAATTGCTGTAGTGAAAGGGTCTTGTTTTCATTTACGCCGTGACTAGCAGTAGTATTTTATATACCTTAGAAGCAAATTTCACATACATGAACAAATAATAATAATAATGTAGTGACAACAAGAATAAGAAGTAATGAGGTCTCATAGGGTGGCGGCTTCGCCGCCACCATAAAATTTAAATCGATGCCTAGCTACGCCGACCGACATAAACGCCAACGGCCTGGACACAGCTCATCTACTCTGTCAAAAGGAGACCGATGTACAAATAAAACGCGTATGACATATGATTATTTGCCACAAAAATGTAGACTATTTTACAAGTAGTTTTTCTTACCACCGGCATTCAATGTTTTAAATACAGTAGACCGTCGTCCGGCGGCATTTTTAAATTCACTGATAGCATGCCGCCCTGACCAACAAATCAGTTTAGATTTGCGGCGGCTTTCCTGTATGAATAGAAGACTATGCCGTCGAAAGACGGTTTTTTTTTCAACAAATGCAAACACCGCCGGCGGTCAGTTAGCCAGTATGTTAAATATATTATATAAAAAAAAAATTAAAAATGCTATTTTTTTTTTCAGGACTGTTGGTAGTTATTTGGTTATGGATCCAAATCAGACTTGTAAAAGAGCAAACTGGTCCAGAGGAAAAATGGCAGATATTTGCAATAATAAACCAGGTTTATTAAATCAAATTACCAAAGGAATTGCTCTCGGACAAACAGAATGTCAATATCAATTTAGATATAGGAGGTGGAATTGTACCACATCAAGAAGAAGTATAAAAAAAGTTATGTTAAGAGGTAAGTAAAAATATGAGAGGTGTAGTAATTCTAAATTATTTTTTTAAGTAATTTCATCACTTAAATATATATTTTTATTTACATAAAATTCTGCTACAGTCAGGAAATTATCCTTATTAAAATATATATGACGTATTTATTCAGCTGAAGTTAGCAAATTAATAATTAAAGATTAAACAACTTACTTGTAAGGAAGTTTAATCTTAATTTATAAGAGAACCACGTCAGCATAAACCACATATATAGTAACGCCACTGTATTTTGAAGAACCAGTTCCAGCCTTTCCTCATTACTTTCGAAGTACCCCATTTAAAACGAAAAATCAGTTGGGTTAAAAAGGGTTGGTCTATGCGGACGTGGTTCTCATATACGAGGCCTGTCTAAAAAGTATCCGACCTTTGGCCAGAAAAAATATTTCGAATACCTGACGGAGTTAGGACCCTAATACCCTTCAAAGTAGGCCCCTTGTGCTTGCACACACTTAGCCCACCGATCCTTTCACTGCTGGAAACACCTCTGGAAGTATTCTTTTGAAATAGTGTTCAGCTCCGTCGTCGCGTTCGGCATTATCTCTTCTCTACTCTCAAAACGGGATTCTTTCAGTGCGTCTTCAATTTTGGAAACAACCAGAAGTCGCAAGGAACCAGGTCTGGAGAGTAGGGAGGTTGGCGAACAGTTGTAATTCCATGTTTGGCTAAGAAAGTGTTGATCAATTGGGATGAATGTGCAGGGGTGTTGTCATGATGCAAGTGCCAGTTGTTCGCCGTCCACATGTCTGGTATTTTGCACCGAACTGCGTCCCGGAGTCGCCGGAAAACATCTTGATAGTACTCCTTTGTCACTATTTGTCTTTCCGGTGCGTATTCGTGATGCACAATTCCACGGACGTCAAAGAAAATAGTCAGCATCACTTCGATTTTGCTTCGCACCTGACGCGCTTTCCTCGGCCTTGGAGAATAGGGATGCTTCCATTGCGACGACTGTCTTTTCGATTCTGAGTCGTACCCGTACACCCATGACTCATCTCCAGTTATCACGGTGTTCAGAAACCCAGGATCAGTGTTGGCGGTGTCCAGAAGGTCTTGTGCAATGTCAAAACGAAGATCTTTTTGTTCCGGCGACAACAACTTGGGTACAAATTTCGCAGCAACCCGGTACCTGTTCAAATCTTCACGCAAAATTGCATGTGCATAATCTTTACTCACTCCAACCTCTTCTGTAATCTTCCGCACTGTCAAACGACGATCTGCCATTATCAAATTTCGCACCCTCTCAACATTAGCTGCACTCCGAGCAGTTTGGAGCCTGCCACAACGCTGCTCACTCTCCGCTGATGTGCGGCCATCTTTGAATCGGTTGAACCACTCCTTAATTTGTGTTACACCCATCGCATCTTCTCCAAACACCTGCTGAATCATACGAATTGTTTAGCTTTGAGAATGACAGAATTTGATGCAGTATCTTTGCTCAATTCGTTCAGTTATCTTGCGAGAAAACTAAACCCGATGAACACTAAGAATAGCACCTTACTTGGCGACCACCAGCCAGCGACTTGCACAAGCGAACGCAGTGAAAAAATTCAAGCATGCGCATTAAGGTTCCTCCTTCCACCGTGCACAGTGGCGCCGTCCTAGAATCACTACTTTGCGCGGGAAAAAATTAAGGTCGGATACTTTTTAGACAGGCCTCGTAAACTGCTGGCCACTCGAACTTACACATAGAGATTTTTAGGCAAAATTCGAAGTTTATTATTTTCAACAGGAATGCAAATTTTTGAACGCGGCTTGCAGATTTTAGGAGCTAGTTTTTTTCGGATTAAGCCTCATAACGTATATTTATCGTAGGACCATAGGTTTATTATATACAGGGTGATCAATGAAGTCATGCTAAAAATCAAAAAGTTTGTATGAATGAAATCCGCAAAAAAATTTTTTGGTCGTTGCAATATGGTTTGTTACTAAAGTAACATCAATATCTCTAGATATTTTTGTAGGTTTTTGGATTAAGGCCCTTAGGTCTTGTACCAATACCTCCTAAAATATAAAGGCCAGATAACTGGTGCGTGACGTCAGCACTAGTAGATCACAGAATGCACGACGTTAAGCCTGCTTTTTATTTACTTAAGGTGATATATATTAAAGTTACAATTTATTGTGTTCATTAATTAAGTAAATATCACGGAAAACATATTTAAAACTTGTTTTCATGTAAATGTAACGTTATTTTAAATATTAGGGATATTTATCACATGCTTATGATGTTGCAGAACTTTTATTTATTAATTATTATTTTTACTTATAAATTAAATTGCAATTTATTTACCTCAACTGTCTTACCTTTTTCTGCTTTCATAAATAATGTTTAAGGGCTTCTGGTTTAAACGAGGCTGCCAGTCGTGAACTGAACCCTTAGTCACGCCTCATTCGATTTTTTTTAAGGAAAACGAAATTTCAAAGCAAAAACCATTGAATACAACAGATATATAACGAGTATATCAAAATAGGCAGGTGATAAAATGGCCTAACTCATAGAAGGTATGAAAAAGTCATAATAGGTAGGTAATAACTTCAATAATTAAGAAGTAAGTAATCATAATGTCAAAATCGGTAAAAAACTTAGAACAAAATATTCTAAGGTAAAAAATGTCACAATAGGTAAGTAGATGATTATCCAGATTTAAATATTTTATTTGGCCACAGTAGCTAATTTCCTCTTTTTATTTTTGCCAAAGTTGTTATTTCTTTTGCCACAATAATTTTTAATTATTGTATTTGAAACACTACTAAGAATAATTTGTGCAATACTTTCGGGTTTATGATTTTGACACCCTTCGAAAAAATTTAGTCGTTTTCCTTGAAATAAATACTGCAATGTTAGGTTACAAAAAAACATTTTCTTATTAAAAACGTCCAAAAACTGATCTTCATAATCTTTAACAATTTTTGTAAATATAATATATGCAAATAATACTATATTTACTACGTCTTCTAGAGGATACAATAACCCACCGCGGTTTAAATTATTAATTAAACTAAAATTATCTTCAACAATCATTTTTTCATTATGAACTAGTTTTTCTTTACAGCAGTCGCATTTCAATTTTCTTAAGGTGACATAGCAGCAATAACCACTTAAGTAAGTTATTACTGCCATTTCGTCCTTAACTTGGTCAAAATCTGTTTCTGTCACCGTTATTTTGGCAAGATCATAATCTTTAGATGCCAAACTGTCTTGTTCGATGGGTTCACCTAAAAGTCGATCTTCAAATGGTTCATGAAACTGGTCAATATTAAATTCTCCAAATTTACGAGATTTTAAAGTTAAAATGGACCGAATTCTGAGCCTTTTCTCTGATTCGTAAAGTTGCCGAATTGAAATATGATAGTGGCAACCAGCTAGCTGTCTATATTTACCAAATCGATCTTCTAGCGAATCAGTCTGATATTTCCCTAATAAAACATAATTCATATTAAGTTCTGTCAAGCAGTATTTTGTAATTTCAATCATTCCATGTATGGTATTTGCTAAGGCAGAATGTGTTTGTCTTGATAGTTTGTGTGCGAATTTAGAATCTTGCCAAACATCTAACCAATTTAGCATTTTGCTTAAAAATATTAATTTTGGATCAAGCTCAGAATCTGAAAAACTTTTTTTTACTAGTGGTTCTTGATAAATATCTCTCTTGTGTTTTCCTTTCAAAGGTGTTTTTACATTTACAATTGACCACCACGTTAATATTATATCAATAAAATCTGCAGTGTCATGTGAATGGGGGATGTTATTTCCAAACTGCTTTAAAGCTTCCACCACAAACGGGTTAAAATTTTTTAAAGATAATTTAACATTTTGCCTTTCAAAACTTGTGGGAAATAGAGCTTTTAAATTTAATGAATAGCCAAATTTTAGTAATTTGTCATGTTCAAGTTCATGGAGTCTTTTTACTGCAGAGAATGAGGCACATTTCTCTTGTCCGGTCTCAAAATCAGGATAAATAAAAGTCTGACCTGGTTTATAATTAAGCCAATTTGTGAAAATACACTTTAAAAGATGCACAGAATCAAATAAAAAAAATAAAGGCCTTACTGGGTCAATAGGATGTGGAAAAGCAATGCTAAGTTTGTCATAAGGTGAGAAATGAGCCATTGCTTCTCCATTTATAGCGTTATTGTCACTAATGGCACAAAAAACTATATATCCAATTTCCTCCAACTTTTCAATTATGGTCTTAATAAAAGTGTAAAGCATTTTAGAATCTATTTTTGAGACTGGTGACACGTGAATAACTTCCTTAAAATTTGAGCTCATACTGCATATCATAAATATTTGTCTTTTTCTGTCAAACACTGAAAAACATTACGAGCGTAGGTAAGGAAAGTGTTTCTCTCATCAATATGTGGATCTGTCAGATATTTATTACATACACCCTTTATAGTTTGGGGGTAGGGTAAAATAAGTGGCCCATAATCCCTTAAATATTTGTAACTGTGAGGACTTATAGTATATAAAATAGAACATAATATCATGGTGTCTGGTAAATACCTATATCTTTGCTTTGGAGAAATTAATAAAGTTAACTGTTCGGAAACAATGTTTTTAGCGATTTTGTGCTCACTAGAGTCTGAAATAAAATCTTTTACATTTTCGATCATATTTATGACAAATTTAATAATGTTTTTAAATTTTTCTGAACTTTGTGGAGTGCTACCTTTGACAGTGTTGCAATCAGTATTGTCACTAGTGGTGTTAGTGTCAATGTCTAAGGGAATAGTTGTACTTGTATCAATAACATTTAAAAGTTGTTTTATTTCTTCCAAACTACTAGAGATAAAGGGAGTCTTTAATGCTGGAGCAATATTATCTATAGTGATACTTATAGATTCACTATACAAAAATGTTTTGACATTAAGCTGTTCATCTATGACTATTGACCAGGATATACAAGGGCCCGGTTTATGTTCTAGTTTGAATAACGTTATGTTATTTTGATTACTAAGTGAAAACCAACCCTTTTGCAAGTCAAAAGTTTTAAAGTAGCATAGAAAATCTTGAAAATTTATAAATGAATTTGCTTTTTTATGATCAGAAAAATGTTTTTTGTTCTCTTCGATCGCTTGAAAAAGGTACTGTTCATCAAGGTTTTTTAGTTTTTCGTCCCTACTTTTACGAACGGATGCAGTTTGAGTTGTTAAATATTTAGGACAGTTTGGAAAAATCGTAGGAACGCAACCTTCTTTCAATCGTGGTCTTTCTAAATTAGTAGTAACAATCTTACCTGTTTTAGAGTCTTGTTTAGAAATTTGCCAAATAATATTACCTTCAGCAAAATGCAGCTCACATACTTTAGTATTTTTGTTTGGTTGTAAATTATCACGAGGAATAACTTTTAACCATTTTTTTCGCAAATTTTCGTCATTTGGAAACCCGAAAACACGCACTTTTGGACCCTTTGAATAATTTCCGCGGCACCCCGGGACACAACACATATAAAGCATCGTTACAAACGTTAAAATCACTCTTTTTACTAAGTAAATCACAAAAAAGTGGTAAAAATGTTGAAAACAAACAATTTTACCTATACCAGAGACAATCCAGTGAGACGTGTAACTCAATGTATTTTTTTTGTTCGGAAAAAGTTATTTGGGCGATTGTAACCACAACCAGTCTATGATGGCGCCACTAGTAAATAGCGGGAAAATTAAAAATGCTTTAGGGCGGGAAATTCAAACATGGATTCAGAAATAAATAGTTTTTCTATACAAATTTACAGGAGAAACAAAAACTATTGTTTCACTGTATATTAAAAAAATATAAAAGCTTCCAATAACATCAAATTTTTTATCACATAAATAATCATTTTAATAAAGGAAGTTTTAATCAGTTTAATATAAACAGTGAACATAGTTTTTATTACTCTTGTAAATTTCGCTAAAGAAAAACTTGAAAATTCTATTGATTATTAAATATTTAAACTTGGAAAAATAATACACCAAACTCTTTTTCTATAAATTATATTTTTGTAAGGTACAGAAAATCAAACTACAATTGCTTCGTTTAGAAAGTACCTCGTATCATTTTGTGACAAATTACAAACAAAGTAACAGTTGTTATATATTCATAATATATTTAAAAACTAATGTAACAAATGTTTTATAAAGTATAGTATCGATACCTTTTTGCCAGACTATCATAAGTGCCATTTGAACAAATGTCACTTATGTTAGTCGGGCAAAAAGGTATGGATATGTTATGACTGTTTATTTTAATAGGAAACGAAACACACATACACTCAACACAAATGTATAAGGCCCGAGTCAAGTAAGTTCCCATCCTGTAAACTGGATTAAAACCTGCTAGACCCCTGCTAACTCCTCTTATAGTAATCAAGATCAATAGATTTATATGCCATGCCTTCTAAAAGGGAATGAAGGATGACATACTATCATCATTTAAACAGGACGTTGCTGAAGGCTTACCCCTGTTATTTCATTTGTTTGTGTATCTTGTGTGTGTGCATTCCTGTTGTGTCCCCAGTCATGTAAAAGTTTTCCTAGTCTCCTAATTTGGTTACTAGGTGGACCTTCTCCAACTAGTAGTCTAATCTATTCGATCTGTTTGGTAGCAGGAGGTACTTTTCAAACATAGCAACTAATATTATTAATAATAAACACTATTTAAAGATAAATACATTTTTGTAATTGCCCCTTACCTTTCTCTTACACCACCAGGGTATACCTATTTTCCATATTCCCTTAATTATAGATTACCTTACAATGTTCGAATGAATATAACATTTTACTCATGAAAAATCTAATTTCATATTTAACTCTTTTTCAATTTCATTTGAAACAATAATTGGTACCTATATTACAATTTATTATCAAAGAAAATTTCTAATAAAGTTATAGCAAATCCTACTTAAACTACTGGTTGTTCTGCAGGATAAATTAACTTTTCTTGAGATTGATCTCTCTATAAAATCCAAAACCGACCTGATGTCCCCAAATTTATTTTCCAATGCATCCTGATTTAAAATTCTGCCCTTTTGTGATTCAATTTTTTTTTTTCCTTTAGAGTGGCTGTTAGAGGTAGGTGTATGTAAGAAATAGCTAATCTCTAATCATTTCAAAAGTCCTTTGCCAATACTACATGTGCAGATTTTTTACTCAGCATACATTTTACTTTTCTAGTAGATAGGAACTTTGTGCTGCCATTAAAGCTGTCTACCTACTTAATGAACACAAGTAGCTGTAACAATGGATCTCTGTTCCAATTCACCTAAAATAATTATAGTCATTGGGTAATATATTATTAAACACACACATTATACAGTGGTTTTCTTAATAAATTGGAAATTACTTACCTCTAGAAAGAAATGTGTACAAAAACGCGAGTTTGGTTCCAGAAATTGCTTCATGCAAAAAATAATATGCAAAAATAAACATTCCCCCCCAAAGAAAATTAATTAAACAACAAAATCAGACTAAAAGAAATATACGGGGCCCAATTAAATTAATTTTAATAAAATGCACATGTTCATAACAACATTCATAACATTGTCAGTTGTCAGTTTTAATACTTTTAATCGATATTTCGACGTCAAAAAACCAGCAACACCAGCGCCCTCTGAAAATGGTGTTAGTTTTATTGGAGAGAGATAGACATATGTAAAGATAAATGTAAAAGAAAAAGAGGGTCATATATGTAATTTAAATGGACCACCGAACATATTTTCCTATTAAGTTACACGTCTCTGTTGTCTCTGCCTATACCGTTAAAATGGACAAAACAACTATAACCAGAGATTCTCTGTTATCTCTGACTATACCATAACAGATGTTGTCGTGCGAGGTTGCCACTCCTTAACCGAAACTATACTTAAAGCATATAGACACAGTTAAATATTAATTTAATGAAGTTATAGAAATAATGTTGTTATGTTGCAAAACTAATAATCCAGAAAAGGTAAGTATTGTTTTTCGGTTGATAATGGAACAATGGACTACATTCATTTTTTTTATCATGTAGTTGTTATATGTATCTTAAAACAAATAACAATATGGCAAACCCGCATAATATCGCTAAACAGTCGATTTCAAGTAGAATTTCAATGACCTACTAGTAGTGACGTCACACGGATAATTTCTGTGAGTAGTGTGGCCTTTATATTTTAGGAGGTATTGCTTGTACACACTACTAAACATAAAACTTTTTATAACTTGTAACATTGTTTTGTTTTACAATTTATTTCATCCCCCACGTTTTGATGAAACTTGTCTGTAGTGGATGGAGAGTATGGCGAGCCTGAAGATGAAGTGATGATACTTCGAAACCAGTCGCACTCAATGTTTTGTTGAATAATTAAACATTGACTTTCCTTGTGAGATATAAAGGACTTTTTCTCCCCCCTTCACCTTAAAAAGATTTTATATTGTCTAAGCATTTTATGTGAGGGTTGAAATTTACACATACCAGGTCGATAAAAGACACGTAGCGTACGACGCGCTCTAAGGTTTGGCATTACTTCAGTTTTTGTAAAAATAAATTCTCACCTCAAGCTGTTTTTATTTAATATCCTTCTCACTGTTCTCTACAAAACTCTCACCAGTTTGTTGTCTCAAAGAATCATTTAGTTTTACAGGGTTCTTTGTCCACCCATGCCCATATTTCAGAGTAGGCATTTGAAAAATTAATGCACAGACAATTTATGTTTCTCAGGCTAATTTTTTTTCATTTATTAAAAATTGCCAATACCAATTAACACTAAGTACCCCTATCCATTCATACCTAATATTTGTTATTACATTACACCGTGTTTTTTAGGGATTGGAGGAACCTTTAAATTAGGTTTAGAATTACAAATTTTGTAAGAATGGACTTTTGGCCGTTGTTAACCATTCTTGTATAATATTTTGTAATAAACTTTTTCTTGTCACTACGGTTTTGTCTATTATCAACCCGGTATAATGTGTAAATTTCAATACTCAAATTAAATACTTACACCACAGAAAATTTACGTGAAATAAGAATTCAAAATCCGCAAAAATCATCAAGAACTGTCAATCCAATCTTAAGTTATAGCATATTAAACATTCTGCTACCCAAATTTTATGTTTAGTAGTGTGTACAAGGCCTAAGGGCCTTAATCCAAAAACTGACAAATACGTCTAGAGATATTGATGTAACCTTAGTAACGAACCATATTGCAACGACAAAAAAAAATTGTTTGCTGAAATTTCACTCATACAAACTTTTTGATTTTTTGCATGACTTCATTGATCACCCCGTATAAAACCTATGGTCCTACGATAAATATGCGTCATGCAACATAATCCGAAAAAAACTATCTATAAAATTTGCAAGCCGCGTTTAAAAATTTGCATTCCTATTGAAAATATTGAACTTTAAATTTTGCCTAAAAATCTCTATGTGTAAGTTCGAGTCGCCAGCAGTTTAATTATGATTGAACTTCCTCACAGGTATGTCGTTTAACCTTTAATTTTACTACGAACTACGTCCTTATAGACCACATATGTGCATGTTTAAAGCAAGGCCAGTAAACTAATTTTTATTCTTATTAAAATTTCAAAACTACAACATTAAATTCAAAAAACTTTCGATTTGTAACTAGATCAGCCTAATTTTCACAATTAGGTGATTAACAATTTAAAACTATAAATTATAAATTTTATAAATTCTTACCCAAAAACTATTTTGTGAATCTAACTTCAACATATATATCTGCAGTAACACCTTGAAGAGGAATCTGCATTATGCTAGTCCACAGCATTCCTAATGAATCAGCACATCGTATAGTTACCGATCTGCTTTCTCGAATAGAAATGTAAAAATCTTATTATTTCGTTTAGTTGAGTAACCGAGAATTTGGTTGAAATATAAATAAATTAATATTTTTAATTATTATTCCCAATTGCAAAACACGACTTAACCCTGCGCTAGTCGCGCCTGATTCTCTGACAGCACTAGTCGCGCAGTCTGTTAGACTCCGTATGCATAATATTCATTTCTTTAGTTTGTTATTTTTGTTTTCATAGTAAATAAATTAAGGAAAACACAGAGACAAGCAAACAAAGCTTTATTCAGTAAAAATAAAAGAAAATAGGAATTTCTTATTTGTACCTATCTAAAATAAGAAAAAATAAGAAAGTGGAGCTGTCGACAGCCCGAAGAAACAGAAAATTAAATCAAACCTCTTCAACATGGAAATTTGTTCCCAGGATGGCATTTGTGCACGGAAAGCATAACATTTTCGCGTGCTTCAAACAAACGAAAAATTTACATTTCTGACAATAGAACCTAGACTTATTTTTATTGAATTTGGCCAAAATGTTTCCCCCAAAAAACTATAAAACTTTTGTCAGAAACTTTTTTTTTATAAAATGCATATTTTCGGCGGTATTTAACTGTAACACTTTATTTTGAAGAACCGGTATAGAGCTATTATAAATCAATAATTTTACTGAAGAATAGTATT